ATTTTTTATATTTTAGATAAATTTTTTTTGTTAGAAATGGTAGTTTAATGGTAAGGAGTGTTAGTGATGTTTAGATTAAACTAGAAGGGATGTCAGTGATGCTTTTGATAGTAGAGGGGGTATCCTTAAAGATATAGTAAATTAGGAGGAGTGTGATTAAAATTTTTCCTAATAATTTTAATATTCATATGATTTAGGTTGCCCCCACTGAGCAAAATTTTTGGCTCCGCCCTTGGGAGTATGCATATAGCAACAATGCAACCTACTAATTTCACCTCAAATTTTGAATTGGATGAAGACCCAAAAGCTCAAAAATTAAAGAATCATTTTTTCAAGTGAATGCAGGTATTGTTAAGTGTTATAGATTTGTATTGTTTTAAGTGTTGCTGGATATGGGACTTGATATGAGACAATTAATTTTCTGTTTATAGAAATTGTTGTAACCTACTAATTATGGAACTTGTATGCTTTGGGCCATAATTTTGTTCTAATGAGAATTGTTGTGTGTTTAGTTTAATAGTCTTTGAATGGTGGATATATAGTCACATGTCTTGTCAAATGTACTCAATGCTTTTGTTGGAATAGTTACAAATTGCATATAGTTATACATTATTTCTTGATTATATAGTGCTCACTCATACTCGTCAAACTGAACAAAGTTGATTAGTTACTAAGTAAAAAAATTAACGAAAAGATTAATTAAAAAAATTAACACAAAAATTAGTTAGAGAAATCCGTAAAAATTTAGATAAAAATTAATGAAAAGATTAATTAAAAAATTAACCCAAAAAATTAGTTAGAGAAATCAGTAAACAAAACAATTAAAAAATTGATCAAAAAAATTTAACAAAATACCTATGAGAAAAGGGCTTCATGTTTTGGGGAGACCGAATAACATTAAAAAATAAGACAAGAAAAGGGGAATAGGAGATGGATCTCATTAGACTTCATGTGATGACAGAGCAAGCACATGGTGGGACTCATCAAATGACATGGAGTGTGCCATGTCATATGTTGCTGATTTTGGGATTTGTTTGGACTATATAACATTGCTCTTTCAAAAATATAGGCTAAATTCCTTCCAACAAGAAACGCTGAAAATGAGAGTCACCATCCATAATCCTGCAAGAACACAAATGAAAAGTGTACTAGTAACCAACCCCCACTTCACAACCCACAACCAAATCCCACCACCCCACATAATGTTTTAAGTATGCAAAAGTCTTCAAGATAATCTCTAACATAGACTACATGTTATACAACAACAAAACACATTAACCTCAATCGATAAATAAGGGGGAGAACTTTTCTAACCCTTCATGTTGAAGGTGAAGGTGAAGCTGACCTAGGAGTAACAGACCTTGAAACAAACTTGGTAGATTAAAGATGCACAATCACTACGACACCTAGAATAACTTCTGGAAGAATAGCTAAAGGAACGGAGTTGTACGCTTTGCAAATATCTAACTTGGTGCAAAACTTAGGAGTTCTTTTGTCTCAATGAAAATGAAGGACCAGCTCGCGAGCAAGAAGAATGTTTTCACTAATGTTCCTGCCTTTAATGAAAGCCGACTGATGAGGACCCACCAACTCATTTGGTTTGTTAGTATAGTTAGTCTGTTGTTTGTGTGTTTTTTTTAATAATTGTTATAGTACGTGTGGCTCGACAAATAAAAAGTAAGAGGCTGCTACTCTAGGCTCACTTCACTTCTTCAAGCTCTGCCCCTTATTGAAAATGAAAGCGCCAACGCGCCTGATTTATATTACATTACTTTACTTAGTAAAGCAGTCTTTCATGCTAAGCGATCTCGCTTTTTGTCTGGGAGGAAGCTAGTGGCAGGGCGCAACTCAAGGGGGCGAAAACTCAAAGAGGTGGAGATCTAGACAAGGCTAGAACCAAGCAGAGGGATGGATTCGCGGAGGGAAATGGGGGTGGTGCGGCGTGATGCAGTACACCAAGCGCTACCCCCAGTTGTGCATGCGGTACTCCATCACCGAGCCGTAGATCCACCTCCGAGAACATCCACGCTTACATGAAGAGCTACGAGAGACGCTCCTCCTTGAGGTTCTACTTGGTCTAGGAGAAAGGCTATGGGAATTCCTCCTCCTCAAGCACCTCCTTGTCAACGGGGAAACACTTCGAGGTTAGCTTCTCCGTGAGCACCTTGGTGAGACACTTCGTGAGTAGCTCCTTCTCTAAAACCTTCGCAACCTTGGTGAAATGCTTTTGGAATTGGAACGATAGCGGCTTCTTCTGCTGTTATGATAAAGCTTTTTAGGTACTTATTTATTGTTGCATACTATTGTATCAACGCCTGTATGACAACCATGGCCATTGACTGCGACTGTGTTGAGAAACTCGGTGTCGCCAACATCACAAAAAATTAATTTTGAAATTCAAATACTATTATGAATAAAAATATAAAACAAATCTCATTGAGTTTTAAATTCATATACGATGGCTTTGATACCACATGTAAGAATTTTAATGATTCGTATAAGAAATTTAGAACACTTAAATTATAAGATTTAGATCATATAAGTTTAGACCAAACCTATGTGAGCCATAATATTCGATTTCTGAGTTTTTTTCGCAAAAAGGGCAAGCTCTTCTTCTCCTTCTTCAAAGCAATAGACAGCTCTCAATTGAACAAGTCAAATTAGGTTATGAAGTGGAGAGGGGACCAAACCTGCTATTTATAATGAATCTAATGGGCTCTCCCATCACGGATCACAATTAGATTAAAGTTTATACTTAACCGCCTCAACCACATCAATTAAAAAGATATACATAAGCCCATCAAAATAAATCACTTAACATTTGACTTATCTCAATAGATCATATATTCAGTCCATTTTTCAAAAACTCAAAATTAACTATCAATTACTAGAAGTCTAATATGAAAAAAAAGTTCAACATTATACCAATTGGAAAACATTAATTGTAGTCATTTAAAAAATGAAATAAAATTATTTGTCGAAAAACGACTCTAGGGTTAATTAAACAAAAACTCAATGTGACCACAAAATAAAACAAATACGGTCCTGATGCAACATCTCAAACTTAACCCGGTCTAATAAAACTACTATTTTCAAATCATGGCGGCCTTTATATCCTTTATTGACATATGATCAATTCATTATTACAAAAAATAATAATCCTATTGACAAGGATCAAGATGTAGTAATGTAACAAGAAAATAGCACCTCAATATATGATCTAATAAATATGATATTTTCATTGTCAGTCATTCAAACGATTTCTCTATAACAACATACTTTAACAATAAATTAGAGAAATCTATTAATTTTAACAATAAGCTAGTATGTTTCCAAATTTAAAATCTTAAGATTTTCACAAAGGCGTAATCAGAGATATACTCCATTGACAAAACAGTCATACTTAAGATATATATCAATCCTTAAGATTTTGTATAAAATGACATGTCATAAATATACATACATAAAACGTAGCAAGAATATCGTGCTAACAATAAAGATGATCATCCAAATATTGTTATTCATCAAATAAATGTATCTCAACCAAAATGAGTATCAAATATCACAAATGAAATTAAATTAATACAGAAATTCTTAACTCATAAATAAACTCCCACTAATTAAATACATTAAAAGACCCCAAAATGTCTATGTTGTTTACATATTTTCATAAAAGTTATATGTCTTAGTCCCTTGGTTAAATGATCAGTAAACATTGATTCTATATCAATATGTTCAATTACAATGTCACATTTTTTTACTAAGTCACTGATTGAAAGATGTTTAATTTTCATATGCTTAGACCCTCTAGAATTTTTGTTGTTCTTTGAGAAGATCACAGTTGTACTATTATCACGATAAATTATTAGTGGCCTAAAGATAAAATCTACAATAATAAGCCTTGAAATAAAATTTCTTAGTCATGTAACTTGTGTTGCAACTCTATAACAAGCTACAAATTCAACTGTTATAATGGAAGAAGCTATGAGAATTTGTTTAATGTTCTTCCATGCTATTGCTCTTTCAGGTAATATGAAAATATATCTTGATGTGAATTTTAAATCATCCAGCCAACCAAAAAAATTTGAATATGAGTAACCAATCATTGTCCGTTCGCAGACCGTCTCTTAGCATAAGCTCATAAGTATGCTGTTTTATACATCTGTATGATCATAAATGGACCTAGATTTGTGCCCATCTTCAAAGAATTTCAAGGTTGGATGACACTGGAAAGAAAGATGACTGTCGGTCTACAATTTTGTTTTAAGCCTGTTTCAAGCACAAATTGCTGCTAGGATCTAGTTATTATAATTGGTTTTCAAATTACTAGTATTGGAGATCTTTCACTGATAAAAATGGTTGCGAGTTCGAATCTAAAAAGCTCTTGTTCAGCCTGCAAGTCGTGAACAAATTGCGCCCATTTGATAAAGAATAATGCTATGTAACATAAATTTATAACTCAAATTTGCATTCCAAATCAATAGAGATCATTGGATCAATGATTCTCATTTTAAAAAGTTGCTGGTTCCGTTTATCTGGGTTGCATAGTATTTTTCTTTGATAAAATACATAAATGAGCCAAAAGTCATCTTGAACATGAGACGCAATTCATTTTAAATTTGGACACATGCTAACTAGAGCCAAGCGGAACCTGGACATAGAAAGAAAAAAAAAGGAGGTCGAGACAAGCCTGAACGCGCTGTTTGAGCTCGGGTCGGGTCAATTGTACCCCTAGTTGGTGATCGCTTCTAAATAAATGGAAGCAAGAAGATGGAAGGCAGACCCACTTTGGTTAGCACTTCCTTTTTTCACAGGTAAATGATAAAAAATAATACCCAGATTAGTCCTCATTAATGAGAGTCAATAAGGGGTAGATTGGATATAGACTTAACTGAATCAATGACCCTGTGGTTTTAGGGTAAATAATCAGCACTTCAAAATGAATCAAAATTAACATATCAAGTCACATGTCAAGAGAAAAGAAGACAAAATGAATCTTGCACTGAACATAAGTTAACTAAACCATTTAAATCCGTTACAAACAACCAATATGTTTACGAAACAAACGCAAGTAGTGCAGTAAATGCAAATCACTGAGCTTATTAATGTATCATCTTTAGGTAAATATTTTTACAGACATCTTTTGTTTTTCAGTTTTTTTTTTTTTTGTTTTTCTAAATGTTTTTATCGACTTGTCTATTGAAACTTACAAGAGAGGCGTAACAGTAGGGTATCGTAATTGTGGTACGCAGCACTCCTCTATGTTCCAGATTTCCTTTGCATACTGGGATATTGTCCGGTCACTACTGAATTTGCCACTCCCAGAAGTGCTTAAGATAGACATTTTAATCCATCTTTTCCTGTCCCTGCATGTAACAGATCAAAATCCACCGATCAGAGTACTAATATAGCCATCTATATATCTTCTTATATCCAGCGTTTGCTCATTATCGTCGTCATATTATTTATTTTCTAGAATCAGAACAGAATCTATTTTGTGCTTCAACTTTGTATCGCCAGATGTAATTTTGCCCATACAATTTATCAGTACCCATTGGAAACTTGGATGTTAAAGCCTGTTACACAGTTGCAGTAGACAGGGTATGAACAAATAGCTAGCTAAATGATCAACTTCATTTTGAACATTTATCGAGGTTGGTCAAACTTGACCAAAAGTTTAGCATGATTCATGCTGGTTCTGCCAAGCTCGATATTGTTCATGACAGTGATTGAGAATTTACATTTGTCAACTCTTAAAAGCAGGATATACAGTTATCAGGTCATTTCAGAAGACTGAGCATTAAGAATATGAGAAAACAGAAAACATGCAGTGAGATACAAAACTAAAATAATGACCACTTTGAAGCTTCTGAAATGTGACTTGTGTACGAAAAAAAAAGAACTTTCTAGCTTTAAGTATGTTTGCAATCCTTCTATGAAAGCAGATATAACGCCAAGTTGCCAACTCAAGCTGTAAAAAAGTTTCTTAATGTTCTTTTCAATGGAACTTTGTTAAGTCTGTAGTGATTGCTGGCACCTAGAAGTCACTTTGACCTTTGCAATTAAGTCATAACTTTGTGACAACATCTTCCTCCAATATACAAATGAATATGACCATACATTCAATCTGTAGTTCATTAGTCACCGCACTAGTATTATGTCACCCTTATTCTATTTATTCTATGCAGTTTAGTATATTTTCTAGTTCAAGAAATTCTTCATTGAATTGTTTTGATGAAAAACCTTTTAATTATTTAGGATACAAACATTTCCAGACATAAGTTCATTGGAAGGGTATCAAAAATCATTTATGTGCCGAGAGAAAGAAGTAAACTGAGAGATTTACAAAGTCTTAAGCAAGCCTTCAATGCAGTGATATCTACTCCCCCCAACACAATCATATTCAAGGCGAGGAGTGTAAACTTACTTGTAAGCTTCATCCACTCTTGCCTGAGCATCCATGTAGGTAGGAAAGTCATGACCAACAAGAAAATAATCACCACGACCATAACCTGAGTTCCCCTCCAGAGACTCGAGGAGTGGGTTATAATCGTAGTTTCCAAACGCTCCAGATCTTATAAACTGTTTCGCCTCTTCAAACCTAGGGTCAGGCATAAACTGCATAATCAGCAAAAACAAAAACCGTGAACAAGGAGAAAAGTGGCTGCTCACTAAATGAACAATGAATTCAAAATAACCATAATGAATTTGGAGAGGAGGGACCTGATAGTGAGTATATGACAGGGAGTCAAAAACTAGTATAATGTAAAGCGAAATTACAGAAAGAATTACTCCATGGATTAAAAAACACAGCTAGTTCACAACACTGTATTATTGAAGTTCAGGACAACCTTGGCAACTTTGGACCTAGCATATTGATAATCATGTAACAAATCCATGCATTCCAGGCCATAAACCTGTCAGGCTAGTGGTCTGCAATCTAGTCAAAATTAGTAGCTGCCTGGTTTTTTGGCCTTATTGAACACCTGTACTGTTCAATGACTTGGAGGTATCAACGCTAACTGATCAAGTTGCTAGGTGTTTAATCTAGACAAAGAAAGTCTTTTCAGCTGTCCACCCAAGTTAGGAGAGCTGAATTGACAAGTCTTTAAGATTGTTACTAGAGCCATTCAGCATTAACCCTGATACTCAAATCGAAATAAAAAATTTATAATACGCGACAGAAGATCCAAAGATAAGGAAAATCAGGAGCTTGAGTGAGCATTAAACATGGCCATAGGATGCCATTGATCTGTTCACCGAACATTAAGAAATTGTAGCTTCGTACCAGTCCATTCTCTCTTTCTTTGCGCAAGTGAGGGACTTCATCTGCTGTTGCACCAAAGAGAAAAAAATTCTCCTCCCCAATTTCCTCCCTGATTTCCACATTAGCACCATCCAATGTTCCTATAATAAGGCATCCATTGAGTGCAAATTTCATGTTGCTTGTGCCACTTGCCTCCATGCCTGCTGTGCTAATATGCTGCGATAACTCACTTCCTGGAATAAGGATCTCCGCCACTGATACATTGTAGTTGGGAACGAAAACTACCTGAGAATTATTTGGATACGAAATATCAGTTCTAAAGTGACAATATCATTGAATAACAGAACAGAAATTTTGGTACAGTAAATCATAGAATAATTTCTGCAAGTGTAAAGAATATGGCTTGAAATATCCGATATGAAAAAGTGAACGAGGACAATATTTACTATACATGCATCCCAAAGGTGTAGTAGTTTCGGTAACAAATCGCCGCATACCCACATAGGGAATATAAATCGACTTTATTTCCAAGGTTATCTTTATTGTAAGAGTAAATACCACAGGAAAATGAAATGTTCCCAAATCACTGAAATGTGGCACACATACAAATTATACTAAAGATAAAAATTTGTATACTTAACTCCATTTGTTATAATACTCAACTTTTTTAATATATTGTCCAATAGCACTTGCATGACAGTTGTAGTACTTGCATTACTGCTCATTAGTCAAATTTCCATCAGGGATTGTCCAGGTCCATATAGTGAAGATGAAGAAAAAGTAGAAATGACAAGGACACACTCTAAGCTAGCTGACACTCGAATTGTTGTCAGATGTACTACACGTATTTTCCATCATTCTGGCAGAAGAGAAAACAGACAATGTTGAACTGCAAACCAAAAATAGAACATGACAATTTTTTTGTTGTTGATGATATGCGTATATTTTGCTTGCAATATGACCAACAATAGCATGTAGAACAATTTTTGTGTCATTTAAACTTTCAAAAACCATCCTTACCTTCAAATAGGTGTTGACCTCTGGATCATTGTTGACTACAGCACCAACATCATTCACCAGCTTAACTATTCTTTTAGCATTTGTATATGTCGCAAACGCTTTTCCACCAATCATGATGGTGCGTGATGTTGTATTTTTCCGCTCTTCAGGGCTCATTTCCTGTCATAGTTTAGTTCCAAGAAAGGATAAAATAATTGTGCAATAATTTGAATATAGTGGAGTCCTGTAGAACAAAATTCTTCATGATTGGTCATAACAAAATGAAAGAGACCAGGAAGGATGGAGCAAGTTATCCATCTTGTGATGAAAGCTATTACATGAGAGAATAGCAGCAGCAAATGTAAAGCTACAATATTTGTAAAGCTGATAAAAAGCAGGGCACGGTGATGAGTTAAGGTATGTATTAGGCATATTTTTTGGGAGGGAGAATATTCACGATAACAAGAAATAAATGTTTCTAAAGATGTAAATGCATGTGTCACAACTACAATGGTCCAAATATTTGAGCAGATTCATGCACAACCAAAGTATTGGGAACGATAAAAAGTTTCTCACACCTTCAATCTCTTGTACCTATAGACCGCACCCAAAATATTTAGCAGCTGTCTTTTGTATTCATGAATGCGCTTGACTTGTATGTCGAACAGACTATTGGGGTCAATGCTCACACCTGTCACTCGCAGTATGTACTGCGCTAAACGCTGTTTGTTGGCCATCTTGGCTGATTCCCATTCAGTGTGAAAATCTGCATTGTCAGCAAACTAGTGGAGAAAGAGAGGTCAATAGCAATAACATTGCGATTAAAGGAAACTCTTACTTAAAGACATAAATTACATACTTGCCGAAGATTGGTGAGAAGGTCAAGGTTAGTCACCCATTGATCTGTTTTTAACCATTTGGTGACTATATGACTGAGCTCTGGACTGCAAAAACGGAGCCATCGACGGGGAGTTATGCCGTTGGTCTTATTTTGGAACTTGTTAGGCCAAACAGAGACATAGTCTGCAAATAACTCAGACTTAAGGATGTCACTATGTAACTGGGCAACACCATTGACCTGGAGAGATGGCCAACAAAGATTCAGACGTTATTGATTGTAGGTAAATGTGGTCATAAGACTTCATCAGTAAGATGCTGCTATAAATAGTATTGTTGGAGTATAGTCTATTTTATTAGAGTTTCTTTTTTCTTTTTTTACCCTTACTATAACTTCTATATTCTGCCTAGACCACAAGGATACTTAGGTCACTTTGTACTATTATTTGCCGGGACTCTACTCTTAATTTGAGTATTCCTTTTCCACTCACAACTATTCCAAGTAGTATGATTTGATAATTATTTGAAACAAATTATGGGAGGGATTTTTTTTTTTGGAGCAGGGGGAGGGGGTGGGGGTTCAAGAATGGCTCAACCATCATGAAAAAGCGTACTATAATAACACTCTTTTTTGTTGGGGGATAGCTTTTGTATAGGACGAAAAAGATGGTTTTGCTTAAAGCCATTCATCTTTCTTCAAATTTTACCACGAGCCTTGGTGAATTGGGAGGAGTTTGAGATGAACAAGTGAAATATGTATTCCAATTCTGAAAGAAAGGATCTCTTACCGTATGTGAAGACACCACACATAGATTAGCCATCCGCACAACGGGCTTTTGGGGATTGTGATCCAAAATGCACATGCTAGAAAGCTTACTCTCAAGATTCGGTTGTGTTGACTGAATCAGGGCAATAAACTGCAAGACACTCAAGTTTTTGCAGTTGATCAATATAGATCTACACATACAGTTATAAGAAAAATAAGACTGGGTGAACAAGGTACCCGCTTGTCAATTTCTTCGATGATTTCCATATGGCGAGGAAGAAGCTTCCACATTACAGCTTGTGACCACTTCTCTAGTGCTTCGGGAAGAACCGTATGATTTGTGTAAGCAATTGTCCTGAGTCACTAATTTCTTTGTTATTAAGGCCCTCACAAGAATTACAACATGGATACAACAAACACCAGCACAGGAAAGAAAATTTTGCTAGGAAACACCAAAGAATGAGAAAATGTTCCACCAAGCAAAGACAAATAAATGCACCTTGTCATCACATCCCATGCGTCATCCCATCCAAGTCCTTCATCATCCATTAGCAATCGCATCAGCTCCGGGATTGTGAGAGTAGGATGTGTGTCATTTAGTTGTACTGCAACCTTGCTAGGAAATTCAGACCACTGGCGCAAACCCTTCCCGCCTTTCCTCTCCTTAAATCTTGAAATAATGTCCTGAAGTTCATTCCAAGATTAGAGAACAGAAAGAAAAATTAACAAATACATTTGCCTTAGTCACAAATTACCAGGAAAAAACTAAATTGCAATAAATTTAAATCAACAGTCAAACATTAAGGGTGAAAGTCTCCATTCTTTATGCATAGACCTTGTGCACTCAGTGGAAAGAATAACAGTTGCATAGAACTTCAAATAATTAGAGATGAATGTCCCCCTGGGACCAAAACTTGGCATAATTTAAGTGTGATTCCATTCCTTCCTAGAACTGAGTTGGATGTAACTTTTTGTCCATTTATATCGTTGCACATGCATGAAAGCACAACCCTTTGCACCTGTAAGGCAATAAATTTGCAGGACACTGACTATGCTTATTGCCAAAGATATGGATGACAACCATTTTGTAAAGCAAGGAAACCAAAGAATGCAGTTTCTTTGAAAGACAGAGTTGCAGCAATGAATTTGGATCTTGATTAAAAACAACCTTTGACGATGCCTCCATAGGCTATGGCACTTGCAGCAACAAAACAAGGTACTTGAGCACTGATGTAAACTGACTTTAAATTAGAGGCCGCAGAGAAATAAGAAATATCATGCTCAACACTTATGGGCCCTTAGACTAAACTAGGACAAAAAAGGCAGCCAACCTGAAGTGATGCACTGCACAGGAAAAATTGTTGCTTCAGACGTAGAAGTTTTCCATTTTCTGTTGCATCCCCAGGGTATAGAACAGCGCAAATCTGCAAATGCACAACTTGTGGTGAATATTCCATGAACAAACAATTGAATGCAAATATCAGACTATAAATTTTACTAAAAAAGAGTGTAGCTGCAAATAGAATAAACAGGATTCTGTGCTTTAATAAAAGAGGGTTTATTATTGCTGCACTGCCCTTCTATCAGAGTTATGTACCGCTAACCTGCTGAGCACTAGAATGGAGCTGTGCAGCAGATTCATACTGTCCATCATTAAATTGAGATAAGCTTATGTCCTCAGCACAAGCTTTGGCTTCCCAGAGCCGAAGACTGATAGTGTTCTTGGTTTTGTACCCTGGGATTGGCACATCGTATGCTAGAGCTTGTAGAACCTCGCCGCCAACCCATTTTCGGCTATAATCATTCAGAAAACAACCGTTACGGTTTTTATAGTAACTAGCATTAACAATGCAACCTAAGATTATAATCTCTTTCTTAATGTAACACACACCACTATTCCAGTCAACAAACAGAGGAGGTCACACTTACGAGCCAGAGGGATCGACCTCAACACGACCAAAGAACTGGACGGGGAACACAACATCATGCCTGACAACCTCCCAAGGACTAAATTTCTGCATAATTCCCACCCAATTTAAGTTCAATTCAAGATATAAGTAAAGCAACAACATAATGTTCAACGCCACTTTTAGGGGAGATCTGACCTCAAGCCAATCTTCAGCAATTTCTTCCTGGCCTGCCTTGGTAATCCGCTGCTTGAACAGGCCATATCTGTACCTCAAACCATAGCCCCATGCTGGCAAATTCAATGTCGCCATAGAGTCTAGAAAACATGCAGCAAGCCTTCCCAGACCACCATTTCCAAGTGCCGCATCTTTCTCCTACAACATTCAACTTGAATAATTATCAGAATACTGCATGTGGAACCTGGCATATACACATATTTGGGTGAGTCAGACCACAATCATATTCCATGGACACAGAGCCTACCAGAATAAAAGCATTGCCGCTTGATTGAGGGCAACATGCCCAGGAGGATGTAAAACCTTAGTGCAACCGATATTGATCAGGTAGTATTACACAATTGTTACTAATCAAAGAAATCAGACAAGTGAATAATATTCATATAGTTCCTGTACTGCTTGACAAGATCAGTTGCATGTGACTGGTCCAAAGGAACTAAAGGAATCACAATGGGAGGGAGTTTAATTGACCGGAGCTCCATGGATCAAGGTCTTTGAAAACATGTGTAAGATGTGAAGAGGTTGCAAAAATTAAGCTACCTGCTCAACAACTTCCTCAAGTTCATGACCCAGCTTATTTAAAGCATCAGCATATGCATCTTGGATATTCAGGTTTCCAATTGCATTAGTCAAAGCTCGTCCTTGGAGATACTCCATGGATAAGTAGTATGTTTGCTTTGGATCAACTTCGTGAAAATGGCGATAGGTCTCATTCCATTGCTACATAAACAATCAACATATGAGAGCAGCATTACTAGTTTAGGTAAAAATTACAAATCAATAAGCCATGTATAGCATATTATTCAAATTCTAATTGACCTTTTTTGCAGCTAAGAATATGCATCACAGCCTTCTATATTACAACCTAGATATCATCTTTCCTCGAATTTTTTTCCTTTTCCATTTTCTTACCTCACTGTGACAAAGGATGATTTTGTTGCAATAGCAAAAATAGATAAAACCACGTCTTCAAAAAACATTTGATTGACAGAGACCACACAATCTAACCTTAGGTCAATAAATAGATAAGAAAAGCTTGATATGAAAAAGAAATAACAAATGACAAAACAAGTGTACAAGGAACAGCAAATTGCATCCTTCAGATATAATTTTTTTGAGGTTTGTTAAGTGTTACTTGGATCAGACGATCGCGAACACTCCCTGCAGTCGCATAGTACGCTTGCTCCGGCTCGAACTTAAAAGGCGAAAAATGAGGAGTGTATTGTGCATGGAAATTGATATTGGAGGCAATCTCCGATGACTCTTCGGCCAGCGGGTGTGAAACAGCCGGAATACTAGATTTAGCAGTGGCAGTAGCATTAGAACCATTTTTTTTTGCAGTAGTCGCCGCCATACCTAGTTCTTTTACAAGCTTCTACAGATATTCTGCACACATAACCAAAAAAATTAGGATCAAACAACAAAACTAATTCCTGCAATATGCTATCTGAAAATAGGTACTTGTAAGTCTAGAAAAAACTTGTAACTGTATGCAATTAACAGTGTTAACCATTTATTAGTGTATATAAAAGAAATGCAATTAAGAGGAGATTGAACAGTACTTGATTTGTGCGAGATATGTTTGCTTTAGGTTTTGATATCAATTAACCGTCTTCTTCAAGCTCCAATTAGCACAGAGCCAGATAGAGGCAAAAAGGAAGGAATTTTGAAACTTAGAAGCCTAATGGTAGGGAAAACTTATATGGTGTGAGAAAGAGAGAAGATATTTAATGGCTTATTCGTGGAAGTGCTTAGATATTAAACGGGAACAGACAAAGCCACAAAGAAACAGAGTAAAAGAGCTCCGTTTTTGGTGTGGGAGTGTGTGGTGGTGAAGATGATACACCGATACTCCAAGCAAGAGAAATATCAGAGAGAGAGAGAGAGAGAGAAAGGAGGGGGGAGGGGGGGGGGGAAGAAGACGAAACAGGTAGACAAGTGATTGATGGAGGGTGTAGCTTCCACTACATCACCATATCTTGATCACATGGGGAATAGACGGAGAGAGAGAGAGAGAGAGATCATTCAATGAAAAGCGCGCACCACGAGATTAATTCAACTTTATGGATCCACCGTCCAAGTAAAGTGTTTCCACCCCCACGGGACTCTCTGTGATGATCCAGATAAAACCGTTGTTTACTATCCCCACAGTAATCAACACATTTTTTAATGAATAATCTACGTCTTAAGGATGCCCATTTTACATATTTACACCAGCCGCAATATCTTTCTTGACAATTAGCATCAAGACAAAATTTGATTGAATTGGCATACAAAACATGATCAAATTACAAGAGTGCAGTTGAATTTCGTTCGCAGTCAAGCCTAAACAAAGCTTATGCGCTTTAAGTAGTAATAAATTCACAAACAAATGATAAAATCAGCCTCCTAGCCTTAACCAGAAATTAAGAAAACTATTAGATGGTTGTAGGTTGGTAGCAGCATCAACGTCTACCAATCAAGTACCTACTCTTCACATATTCAGAACTACCTGAGGTTACATTACCAGCTCGACACCTTTTTTCAAGAACCTTTAGAGTTAGAGGCCCCTCCAGCCTCATCCTCATCTGTGTCAACTATTGTACAGCGGTCTGCGTGGCAATGCGCCTGGGAATGCATACATTGAAGTAGTAGCTCACTATGTTTTCTCTGCACTGGGATTGCAAACACTCAAAGGCAGGCTTCAAAAAGTTTTTCCCCTTTGATGTGGGATTTGTTTTCACAAAAAGAGCAAACTTTTTCTGCTCATCCAAATTCCATAACTTAGAAACATATTCTCCCATCATGTCAAATTTCCATTTCCAGAAGATACTCCCATTTCCAGATCCTGAGATGATATTGCAGGTCACCCTTTTTGTCTGTAACATGTCGTTTAATACATTCTATAGATCCAGGGGAGACGCATGGACAAGAGTCAAGTCTCCCTTTTCCAATCACATTTTCATTTGTTTCTCAACTAATTCCTCTGCTTGGCCATATTTGGGTGCCCAACCACCTTGAAGTGTTTAGTTCAGCGTCAGTAATATGGGTACTCCAAGTTGGCGCATCAACCTGAAAACAGGGTCCAAAGGGTATCACCAATCTAACAGTATCATCAGTAATGAATTCTACCCAGTTCGTTGGCGCTGGCTTTGGAAGGGTTTGACTCTTCATTGGCTTTGACTTCTGCATATCTCATGAGTTTGGTTTCTAAACAAGTTGAAATAGAGTAGGATGGTACCCTAGTGACTAACAATTGGCGAACCTTTAGCTAGTTTATCTAAACAAATGTTTCAAACGAACTGAGTGCCTTGTGGGTGTGCAAATTGAAACTAGTAGTTCAGCAATGTAAAGGGAAACCGAGTATAGGAAAGGACTAATGAAGTGAAAGGAACAGTGCTCTTGTCAGCTTAGTGGCACTTTGCTCTACAAATTTCCCTCATTTCGAAGATGATTTATACACTTCATATCCCGAAACAACTGATCATAGTCGTGCTTTTTCTGGACAAACAATGAAAGTAAAAGATTGAATGAATTGTTCAGTCCAAACAATAAATGCGAGGTGCAAGTGGAAATCATCATAGCAGAAATAACATGTGAATAGGACAAATCTTGAAGAGAGTGGGCAACCTATTAGACAAGGAAACAACAAAAGTAGAGAAGGAAAACACACTCAAAGAAAAATTGCATTGCCTATTTCCTTTCTTAGTAAAGATAAAAAAGTAGCACAATGAAAACTTTTTTCCTGATTAACTTTCTGGTTTATCTTTCATGATAACAATTATCCTAGATTGGCTAGCTCTTTTTGGTGAATGGATTAGGATCCTCTTCAATACTAATTTGCTTCCATTCACTCCAAGCTAGAATCCCCTGTATAGGAAATTACTTCAATATAATTGAATTTATGATAGGTGATTTAACATCAAGGAAATTGAAGGGAGTTAGTATGGGGGTGGAACTAGACCTGTGTCATACAATATCAGGAAAGAGATGATATGTGCACCCACATTTAAATACTCTAATGCTAAATCTACATGACATATAACAAACTACCAACAAAACGTTTGATTCGAACCAAATTTACAATTAACCTCAATATAACTATCTTGCAATTAAGTTTGGTATTGACAGTTTATATGCAAAGCACAAGGAACAAACAAAATGTCTAATGACGAATCAAAGGTCTAGAAAGGTTTCATAACGGATGGAATTGTCAAGGTTTCGTAAGGTTTCATAACGGATGGTATTGTCAAGTTTGAAATATTTGTTAAAGAGGCCTTCAACTTAAGTGGAAAGCAACCTCAATGCTTTTAAGTGGGCTTTTGAGAATGCATAGTGATGCTTGAAGGAATGACAATCAATATTTAAGGGAAGAGATGTTCGAATTTGATTCAAACTCTCTAATTGTCATGAAAGAGAGTTTGTTGAGTAATCAATGTCAGAATCTTATATGGAATAAGATTATATTGAAAGAGTTTTAATATACTATGAATATGTATATTAGGCATGTGATAGGAAACATAAAAATCAAGTTGTATTTAAATATATTTGGATTACCGTATTTTATCCTTATAAATACGGTTGAATATTATGTAATCAGTTACTAGATAATCAGTTTTTTAATCAATAATACATTGATGTAGATTTTGGTCTGTAGATGTAGGTACAGTGTACCAAGGTGGGCATGTTGTATCAAACCACATTATATCTTTGTGATTTATTTTTATTATTTTCCTATTTTTGCATTCATAACTTCTAATAATTATTATTTGTATTAATTATCTACTGTGCAAAATCAACAAGTGGTATCAGAGCTATATTTCAACAAATGGTATTAGAGTTGTATTCCAACAAGTGATATCAAAGTTAGATTGATAATCTTGGTAAATCAATCAGAGCTAAATTGACGATCGCAATAGAACAATCATAGTTAAATTGACAATCCTGGTGCAACAATCAAAGCAAGTTATTAGCGATGATCAAGTTAGAACAATCATAGTTAAATTGACAATCTTAGTGCAACAATCAAAGCAAGTTATTGGCGATGATCAAGTTAGAATTCATGTTGAAGAAGACTCTCTTGCCATGTATGTACAATTCATAGTGGACGACGATAATAGCAATTGGTGCGACAGTGGTGGTGGCGGTGGGGTGGGAGTGGGGGTAAGGTGGGGCAGTGGTGGTGTGGGGTGGCGGCGATGGTGATTGGGCGACAGGGTTGGTGGTGGGACAGTGACAGTGGTGGTAGGGCGGCGACAGTGGTGGTGGTGGTGTTGTTGGGGTGGTGATGGCGGTGATGGCAAGGGTAGTTGTAGTGGGAATCGTAGTGGTAGGGGTGATGGTAGTGGTAGGGGTGGCGATAACGACAACTGTGGTAAGGTGTAAGGGTGGGGGCGGTGGTAGTGGTAGTGGTAGTGGTAGTGTTGATGATGGTGGCGGTGGGGGAGGTGGGGGATGGAAAAGGTGGTGGTGGTGGTAGTGTTGGTGGTGAAACAGTTCCAAACACTATTTTTTTTTAAGAAAAATATTTATTATAAGTTATAAATTCTAGAAACATATTTAAAAAGTTATCTCAAGCACACATTTATAGGTCTATTTTTCTTATTAAATTTAGGATGTTAATATTAGTCGTCAGATTAACTTTAAAGTAAAACTTAAAGAAATCTCAACCACGAAAAATAAAAATTATTTTTGTTTATCTTTTAAAATTTGAATTGTATTGTACTTTATTATATAGATATTCATTTTTGTTTAATAATAGTAAATTTCAAACCCCCGACTTTAAAATTCAACAACAAGGACAATCGTCGTTAGGCTAACAACTAACCTTTAATATTGAATAATTTGACTCAAAACATTTACAAGCACATCATAATTTACAAGGAAGAAATCTTAAAATGATTAGGGAGAAAATAATTAGACAAACTCTAAGAGCATCTTCAACTGAGCTTTCTATTTTAGAGAGCATCTTTTATAAAATAGAAATCATCTTTTTTCTAAAATAGAGAGTATCTTTAATAAAAAGTTACAATAGAGATTAAATTTTTACACATCACTCCAATAAGACTCTCTATTCTTATCATTTTATATTTTGTCTTTTTTTGCAACTAGCAATGCATGACATGCGTTGCACGTAATTAAATTTAAATAATATTATGTTTATAGAATAGTAATTATATGTGTAATTAAATTAAATAATAAATTAGGTGTTGAATAATTAATCGGTATTTTAAACATTGATTTATTCTATAAGTTTTTGAGTACCTAATTTGTCATTTATTTAGGTATCTCTCCAATCTTTTTAAACTTTTGCACATCTAATTATATTATAGAATTATTAATTTTTATTTTTTAAAATAAATTGATTAGATCACTTATAATATTATTATATTATTGCATACAAAGAATAAAATATAACATATATTTAACCATAAAATTTAACCTGATTACTCCATGTATATAATAATTTAACATATATAGGACTTTACTTCCTCCTATAGATATAGATAATTATATATAACTATATTAATAATAAATCAGTTCAAAAGAATTTAGAAGTTCTTGTAAAAGAGTGCAAAACAAATTAAAAGTCAAATAGTTGTAAAAAACAAAAATTAGATGAAAGTATATAAGTGAGTATAATTGACTTCATTATAATAATTAGGGATAAAATAGAAAATCAAAAAATTTTCACATATACTGACATTTATAAGTATTAGTTGATGTATACGTGCATTACATGTGAATCATCATATTTATTTTGATCAATCTCTAATTCATTAAAATATTCCTCAACTAATTTCCCAAAACCATTAAGAAAACTCACTTAGCGCTTTTATGGTCAATACTTTCTAGATGTGTTTCGCTTTCAGAAAAGATCTAAGATTTAATTGGTAATTTTTGGTGTTTGTCAAATACAACAAGTTGAATTTTTGCAATTTGTTCCACCTTAAACTATGTGTCAGGTAAGTGTATTTCCCTATCTAACCTTTACACTTTCTACAATCCTAGGTGATGGAGAAATAATGTTATAGAATTTCTATTTTACTCCCATATGACTCAATAAAGGGGTAGCCTAAAGTTATCCTAAATTAAATCATCTTGAATCAGTTTGTTAGCCTCAATCAGTTGATGTTCCTTTTTGAACTTAACAAACATTTAGTGAAAGAGGCAAACATATTCCTCATCCACAAAGCGTGATAAACAATTTTTCATAGCCTTTTGTTTGATAGGGAGGAACCATGAAAATGCAAACCAAACTATAGGACTCTTATGAATGTTATTGTTAAGAGGCATACTAACAACGAAGAGATGAGTTTAGAATCAAGAAATTTTCCTTCACAAAATTAGCATAGGAGCAGGATTCAAGAGATTGTTTTGCACCTATCCGATAAACATAAAAAGTCACCTTCTATTATGCACTTAAAAGCCTTCAAAAATAGCCAAAATTGTTGCTTTGATGCCAAAACTTGTTTTCAGCTTAGAAAATGAAAGAATTGGATATCCGCCAAAGTTTCAAATAATTCCAAGGTGGACATGTCTCTTAACAATGATGAGCTGCAACAAATTGGATCTAAAACATATTCTTGGGTAGATAGTGTCGAGTTGCTACTCAGACTCCCATGTTAAAGAACATATCACGACCTTGCAAAGTATCACACTGCCAACCCTCTTTTGCCCTCGTTTTTTTTAAATAATTAGAAGTATAATTAAGTTAATCAATGATTTAATTGCGATGGCATAATGAGTTCACTTGAAAATTCCAAAATCCTTCAAACATTACCCGTGCTTAGGACTCTAACCGCAACTTGGAGATGTATACATAAATCTATTCATATGTACATGGTACATATATCTACAACTTTAGATTTATCTAACTGGACATGAATTGAATAGATAGGAACCCCACAAAATAACATTATTAAAGAGTTTAATACTAAAAAGACACTTGATTTTCAGTTAAATGAAAACCTATCAAAGTCATGAATACATTTTATAGAATTCTTAACGAGTACCTCAAATAAAAATTTTGCGTGAGGAGTTGTGTGTTTATTATGGGAGTGTACGTGCATTTCAGAGGGGCCATGTACATGTATAATAAGAAAAAATTACAACTCAAACAAAATTCATAGGAATAAGCAGCAAAAAGAGACATGAGCATATAGTAGAGTGAGATTTTTAACCTTTACTGTGTTTCAAGTTTTGAGATATGCACGAAGTACTTAGAGAAATAGGGAGATTTGGGCTTCAAAAAGAAGATGAATACAATTAAGTGGACAAACTAGACGAATCCAAGTAAACACACCCTATCCAAATTCTTAAGATCAATCTAATCAATCCAATTTGCAGACATTGTGCCCAAGCCAAAAAGAATTGTTGTGGGGAAGAAAGATAATTGGTACCTGTCGATGTAGCACAACACAAACAATTTGTGTGAAAACTAGAGAGATAGAGAGAAAAAAGATGTGTTCCAATTGGAAGATGGAACATCAATAGAGTTCTAATTGATAATGTAATATCCAGTAACTTAATGCTTATCTATTACTATTATTAATTGACGATGCTATCAGTTTTTTTGGAAGTAAGAATACGAAAAGATATGAAATCATTAGAGCGATTAGGTAGGGTATAGATAATTAAATACATAAGGATATAGTTGACTTTAATTTTTTTATAAAGACATAATTGTCAATAAATTTTTTTTCACTTTTGTTGACATTTTATAGTTAGTATATATATATATATATATATATATATATATAGGCAATAAATTTAACTTTCCTCACATTTTTCCTCTATTATTTTAAATGAGATACGTTTATTCTAAAAATATTTTGGATGAAAAAACATATATACTATTTTTTCTATTCTAAAAAAGATAGAGTAGATAGTTTGTTTGACTCTCTAAATGTAAAGAGTTTATTAGAGAAGAAATTTTAAAGATTAACTCTTTGTAATTAAAAATTGAGTGAAAATAGAAAGCCTATTAAAAATACTCTAACCAATCTACTACAATCCACAAGTTACAATTAGGGATGTCAATGGATCGAGCGGGGGTGGGGGATATAGTCTTCACCCCCGTACCCGCTTAAAAAACCTTCGTCCATCCCCGACCACCTATGCTAACGGGTATAATTTTCATCTCCATTCCCGTCCGCGGGTAAATTTATAATTCTCATCCCCGCCTAAGCACAAGCAAAGTCATAAGAATTAAAATAGCTTACTTTTTTTTTTTTGCTATGATCGGAATAGAAGATGTAACAATATAAAAAGTGTGCCTTCTTTTCTATGCATTCAATTATGTTGAAACAAGGGAAATTATTCTAAGAGATAATTAGTTACAATTCCATGAAAATTATTGTGGTCTGTTTCAACAAGGCAATGACCTGCATAATGTTCCAAAAATATTTGCTAAAATGACAGAAACAAGGGAACCCACAGATATGTCATCTATGTGTTCTGAAATTATGACATCCATTAATGACATCACACATGGAATGCAAGTAAACGATAATAAAAGTCCAATGTAAAAGGTATTTATGGTTCTAGAACTTCTAATAAAAATTTATAAACACACCTATGCCAAAAAATTTCATCTGGTGAACTCCTCTTTAATTTGTAAAAAAAATACAGAATGTAATGAAGAAGTCATTGATCAATGTAATGACCTATACCTGATTTTACCCCAAGCCAAATTGTTTTCTCAGTAAGCAAAGAAGCCTATACGTGATCAATGTAATGACCTATACGTGACCTATATATATAATGGGTAACAGGGACGTGGCGGGGAAGGGGCGGGAGTAAGGGTAAGTTCATCCCCGCCTTCATTCTCACACGGGTTTATACGGGTATTTCGGTATATGTCCACCATCCAATATGTATAGTCTATCCCCAGTCCAAACGAGACGGATTTGGACGAATTTTTTCTCCGATTTACTCTCATCCCTAGTTATAATCGTTTCTTATCTTAAAAGTATATTGAAAAATAGGGATTATGGAGAAAGTCCAAAGTTAACTAAAAGAAACTTTCCTACTCTTCCCATCACAGGTACATCCCTAAATCCTTGAACACAACAACTCTAATAGCACTCTACTCATCAACCTTGTGTCAGAACTGTTTAGAAAATAAGCATTAAAAATCTATAGATAATAATAAGGGTGTTCGGCCTACCATTTTGGTAAAAATTATAACATCTCATTTTCCTATTCGATATTTTATGAAATAATTTTTTTTGGCTTACACTATGTGATCAAGTGTACTATTTTTCCCCGAATACCGTTCAAAATAATCAGGTAAAAAATTCAGCAAAAAATTAGGTGAACACATATTTTTTTAACTATTAATTTTTTAAATTATTTTAATAATTTAATTAAGTAACCTGTTTCAATTAACTAACACAATAGAACAATAACACTTAAGAAAACATAATAAATTCGATAATACATAAACAATTACAGTAAAACATAATAAGAAAACCATAAACATTAATAAAATATTAAGATTTCTAGATATTTGGATTTTAATTTTTAGGATAGGAATATGAAAATTTTGTAGGTATTTTGCATTTCTACCTAATTTTTTGTGCAATACCAAAAAAATCTTCCACTGGCCTATCCGATTCTTTCGAATAGCCAATCAAGATAAGGTCGAAATTTATGGATAATCAAAAATTTTAACACCCCCAGAGAACAACAAATTAGGTTAACTAATTAGACCCCCAAACTAGATCTAAGTAACAGTATAACTAACTTTTTGTTTCCAAAAGTATATTGTTTTTTCAGCAGACTCCAATTACATTGTTTGCAAACAGTCATACAACAATAATATGCCAACTGCAATGTTTATACACCTTAAACCAAGATTGTAAACATCCACGAAAACCATTTATATATTGACATTCCCTATAGCCGTCAGCGAAGAGTACCCACAGGCCTTTTGTATGTGTACCACTTTGCCACCAAAAGATAAACTCCGAAGTTGAGCACACTCAGCACAGCCAAAAGCCAGAAGAAGTAATGGACGTGGCCATAGTTCAAATTGTCTGGAATCCACCCAAGCTTTCCATCCCTGGTGCTAATTTTTGTAACTATTGTCACCAGTAGGGAGCTCAAGTACTGCCCGAGTGCAACTGTGGTGAGAGAGAGAGCAGAGCACAAACTTCTCATTGCATCAGGCGCTTGCTCGTAGAAGAACTCCAATTGTCCAACGAATGTGAAAACCTCTGCACACCCTATGATGAAATACTGAGGAACCTGCCAAAAAATCGACATGGGTATCTCCTTGAGGTCATAGTAGTTGTGCCTCCTCACGAATTTAAGTCTAACAAGTTCCAAAAATGCTGCAGAAACCATGGCAAGGATGGATATGACAAGGCCAATGCCCATTCTCTGGAGTTGAGTGAGACCATTTTTGTGACCTGTGAGTTTTCGGGCAGCTGGGACGATGAGTTGATCATAAACTGGAACCCAGAATATGACACTTAGGGTGTCAAAAATGCCAAGTGATGCTGGAGGGATCTTAAAGCTGGAGTTTCCTACATGCGGATTCATGGTGGCGCCTTGCAACACGAATAGGGTGCCCATTTGACCATACACAGTAGAAAAGACGATGCCTGTGGCCCAAATAGGAAGCAGTCGTATGATGGCTTTCAGTTCTTCGACTTGGGTCACTGTGCAAAGTCTCCATGGGTCTACTGAGTCCTTCATATGGTCTGATTGTGTGTCTACAGCCGCCTTGTCAAAGAAACTTCATGAAATAACATTGGGTGAGGGACAAACTAGAAGCTCACTTGGAAGGTAGGAAAAGGATGGAGGTGGGTTGTTGCCTACAAGCTCTATCTAAGGTATAGAAACAAGGGTTCATGGGAAAGACCATGTTGTAAAAATCCTTCTTTACAGCAGTTGGGATGAGTTGTTTACAGTAGTAGTACAGGCACGAAGTTTTTCAGTACTTTAACATGCTTACACAGACTAAATCAATTTCAGGAATCAGTCCAATCACCCTCTTCAAATTTATTTTATCATCTGTGACGAATTCCATTTTCGTGAGCAAATGTTTACCAACATATTCAATAGATTCTATCATGTGCTATCAATCAAATAGATTTACAACGCAATAATTTTTTGTTGGAGAATATGAATATCTGGAAGTGAGATTAGTAATAAATCAATTTAAGCAAGTCATTGTAACTTGAAATCTGCTAGGAAAAATGATTGAAGAAACTTACCTTAGTTCTTTGGTATGATCAAGCTTACGGCTTCCTTGAATTGCAGACTCTGCATCAGGAGTCTCGTACAAAAGAGACTTGTCAGTAGGCACTTCAACTTTATATTTCCTGAAGGAGGCCACCATTACTTGACAGATGCGCGTCAGAGGGCTGCCTCCAGGTTTCTGGTAGCGATACAGCCGAGTACCTGAAAAGAAACTAACCACTGCAATTGCCATGGCCACAGCTGGAATACCAAATCCCCATCCCCAACCCACATTATCTTGTATCCAAACAAGCACGGAAGCAGCAATTAGAGCACCAACATTGATTGAAAAATAGAACCAATTGAAGAAAGAACTCTTGTGCTTTTTCTCAACCTCATCAGCATCATCAAACTGGTCTGCTCCATAGGATGACACACAAGGCTTAATCCCTCCGGTCCCCAATGCTATCAGGTAAAGTGCAAGAAAGCAAACTGCACTTTGAGTTTGTGTTGGGTTGCACTTATCCTTTTCATAGCAGGTCGGCTTTAGGCCCGGGATTGATGCTGACAGCGTCAACAGTGTCATCCCCTGCATCAGCATGATGCTTGACTTATATAAACAGAACTTACAGCATTCAGCATAAGCATAAGGTAGATAAATACTGATGTTAAGTATCTTACATAATTTGGACCTGTGTAGTCAACTTTGTCTGTGGCTTGTGAAAAATCAGATTAGATGATTCCTCATCAGCATTTGCATACCAGACAATCCCGAAAAACACCTAGTGATCGCTGGCTACGGAATAAGGTGCGCTTTAGCACACATTAAGGCAGACTCCATTTTGGATTAAGGCTCAAGTAAGGTAACTCTATAAAAAGAAGGCTTAGGTCCCAATTCTTGCATGCTTATCCTGTGGGTCTAGCTCTCACAATCAAACGAGGCATTTTACGGTCGAAGGCCGCTTTGTATCTTTTGCAGGTGTTACTAGTGTGACATTGTTTGAATCATGAACATGATTAGACAGATTGATAGATCAGACAGAAATCTAAAATTCATGCTTTGGGTATATATCTAAATTTTAATCAAATCTTTCTGTGTATTTTGCCTGTAGGAGGATGTAAAAAACACCTCAATATATTCAAAATCCATCTACAATGAGCCTGATTAATTGAACATTTATTTAGAGCAAGGTAATGCCAGAATTCAAGAAATGTGCCTATTTGTGATAGGTATTTGTGTGTTCCTCTGTGTGATATGTGCTTAAAAGTAAATTTATGTGCTTATTGTATATTGAGTGAAAACATGCATATATGATGTGCTTTCCTGTGCCTTACAATCATGTATCCCACCCATGGATAAGTTCCTTGACTAGATTCTAAAGTATATGCAATTCAACCAATAAACTTACTATGACATATATGATTGAGAAGCAGGCAATTGTCCAATATCTTCCAAGATAGGCATCAGCCAGAAAAGCTCCAATCAATGGTGTGATATAGCATGTTCCAGACCAATTTGAGACATTATTAGATGCCGTGGCACTGTGTTGGTTGAGTTGATGCTTGAAATAAAGCACCAGATTGGAACTCATCCCGTAGTATGCCAATCTTTCACAGCATTCATTTCCTGCCAATGAAGATTGAAAAGAAAAAAAATAGATAAGTCTTGTTAAATTTATTAGAGACTACTAAGTAACAAGAATAAGAGACGTTTAATTACCAAGGATAAAAGGACAGGCCTTCCAGGTTCCAGTTTCATTCTTCTTGGCCGGATTGTTGCAGTAATCTACAGTACCATCTTTGGCATAAATATCATCTTCCCCCATAGCTTTGTACAAATAGTTGTATACTTGATAATTATTCTCTTTCTTTAGGAATTTTACTCAATACAGAATGACGCGTGGAACTCAAAGACAGTCTAAACCTGTGATATATTAGAATAAAATACGGTGTCAGATATCTTACACCAAGACAAGAATTCAATAAGATTGCAAAACATTATCAGCAGTGACACAAAAGTATAAAACAAAACCTGTCAGATATTAGACTGCAAGAACAGATACTTCACTTCATCTTAGCCAAAGAGTAATACTATTGGGACTTTATTTCGACAGGTATTGTGGACATTAGAGATTAGCAGTGACTTCCAACATTGAATCAAGTTTACAAACAATCTAATAACTACCGAGTTGGGTCCCCAAATTAGGTACGAGTAGCTTTATTGCTTTAGCCAAAAGGCCTAGAAAGGTAGCCGAAGCACATATATTACAGAGTTCATAATCATCATTCCAAATCAAGAGACAATTTACTCAAGTAAGATCAGATTCACACAGGGTAGTTCAAAGGCAACATTAGTGTCTGAGAGGCTCAGAAATTACAGTAAACAAATCTATTCCAGAAGATCTTTTAGGAAGTTTAACTTTGCATTAGGGGATGAAAGTCTTCGGGTGGTTGATATAACACTAGTACAGTAACAGAATAAGAATAAAGCTAAACAGCTTTTTACTGAACTTAAAAGCAAAAGTATTTGAACATAAGAAAACAGAATCAAGAGATTAAGAACCGAGTAAAGTAATTGATTTCAAACTGATACATACAGAGTTTTGCTGCGGTACCCAGAAAGCAGTTTTGCTTCATGAATAGCTCAAAGGAGGGGGCAAAATTTTCTCAATCTTATAGAGCTTTAATACTGAAAAACCCACAGAAGATGAGCTCAAGTGTGACTTCAGGAGTATAGAAAAATGCCATGACCCAAAATGCTTTGAATAGTTGACTGGATGGATAGAGAGCAGATTCTCAAGAAGACTTGGCGTAACATCAAGTCAACAGAAGCATGGGGGCTACTAGGTTGTTAGCCAACAAACACTGTAGGACTGTAGACTGGGAAACTACAAGTACACACAGGAGATAGGTGGGCGTGGGGAGGTGGGCGTGGGGAAGGGGGTGGTGGAGGACAGGAAAAAAAGTTTGATTGGTGACGTTTTTGAAAGAATAAAAAGTTTAGGCCTTGATTATATAATTTTAAAAATAATTTTAAAACGCTAAAAATAATAAAATTTATTTAAACAATTATCCATAAAACCAATTTTTTTCGCTCATCACTTCTGATATAAAAAAAAAAACCTCAGTCAGGCAATGACATCTACAGTGGAGATGTTCCATTATCTCTCTCTAATCTCTTCACATCATCTCACACGGTAACTCTCTGTCTCTTCGTTATCTTCTCACAAAACAACTCTCCATTATCTGTAAAATTCTAAGTTATAATGATTTGAGGGTATTAGGTAGGGTTAATTATAAATTATACCTTGAAAGATCGTTTAAATTTTAATTTGTACCTCTAAAGATAAAAAATTTGAATTTATACCCAAAGATAAAAGTTTATATTAATGTACACCCTCAAAGATAAAAAATATCAATTTTCACCCTCAAAGATAGAAATTTGTATTAATATGCACCCCTAAAGATAAAAAATTTAAATTTGCACACTCAAAGATAAAAAGTTATATCAATATGCACCTAAAACTTATTGCCGTCAGTTTGCTGCCTAAAATTAAATTGATAAATTATACCTAAATGCCCTCATACTTATCATTTAATCATTTGGACCACTTCACATTTAGAATATTACTCTTATATCTCATGACGTTTGTGCACGTGTAACACATAACCCTTTTTAGTTGATATCTGTTAATATAACCGTTAAAAAATATGATTTTATCCTAATAAAAAATTATAATTTCATATTACCTTTTATTTTGTGGGTCCGATATACTCTAAAATTTAAAATTAAGCTTACAATTTGAATGTCCAATAGAATGTAGGTATTTATATAATATTTTTTATATCCAATGCAATATATCACCTAGACATAATTATTTGAATGCTCAATTGGGGGGATATTTGTGACACCCCAAAATCCGGGGGTCCGTTGATTACCCATCAACCCGCGGAATACCCGTAAATACCGAGTGACTCGATATCACACCGTTATGTCCCATTTACCGAGGTCCATAACTTAACAAAATTTGGGCAGAGTCTCCTTTGTACAGGGAACTCTACCCAATACCCAACCTGTGCAACATAACTCACATGACCCATCTGAGGCCCAATATAAACAATGACCGCACCGGGTCCATTTATAAGTAAACATTGACCACACCGGGTCCAATTATCCATATTTATAGCAAAACATGCAAGGTTACTTTAACATTAGTGCATATATGTAATAGTTATCATTTAAATCCACCAAGGTCTAATAAGCCTCAATATACCTCAATTAGTGTCCATTTGTATCCTTGGAACTAGAGAAATCCAAGTCCATTGGTGTTCTTTAAATCAAAGAAATCCAAGCCTGGAAGCTTAGTGCATAGTTTGAAAAATTTCGGTTTTAGAGTCACCGTTCGAACAACACTACTCACATTCGAACGTCCCTTGGTTTTGAAAAATAGGTAGCTTCCAGTACATTTGGTTCTCTGCTGGTTTTGCTGTTCAAAACTCGCACCATTCGAACGTCACTTTACGTTCGAACAGAAAATGCAGTTTCTGTTCTGCTGCAACTTCCAGTGCGGTTTTGACCTGTTTAGAAGTGGAATTGAGAAAATTTCACAAAAACACTTTTGTAGCCCTAGGTGTCTACTACCTACTGTAAAAATTTCAGATCATTTGGACATCACAATAAAAAGTTATGGCTCAAACACTAAGCAGTGTCTGAAATTTCTGTGTAAACTGTGTATGATTTCAACCCCAAATCAATCCATTCCAAAACCAATCCAAACCAATCCAAGGTTATCCAAAACTTATACAACATCTATTTGATACCAAATATAGTCAATACAAGTTCTAATACAACTATTTCCATACTTTTACATGCCAAAATGGAAATTACCAAAAGTTTTACAAAAACTAAATTCAAAAGCCACAACCCGGCTTTTCTTCAACCAAGAGCCCCCGAATGAGAGCCATCCACCGGAACGTGTCCCGTACCTGAAATTGTTTCCCGTATAGGGTGAGCACAACGCCCAATAGAGATAAACCTATAGAGGTTACTCTTCCCCTAGATGCACATGCTCATGTAATCATCACACAAACATGCAACCAAGCATTTCTCACACTTATGCATCCTATGATGGAATGCAACAATGCTATGCCATGGAATGAAGTGACACTCACCCATGCAACTTTATTCCGAGCTCTCTCCGGCTCCCCAACACATGCAAGTGTCAATTTAGTCGAAACCACCATTTATGTTACACACAATGGCGTTAATCACTCTAGGGTCTTGTATAGGGGTGGATGTTCATGGACTTACACCAAGGGCCTCCAACCCACACGAAATTTACGGACTTCGACCGAGGGTTCTGAATACACCCACACACTTTATGGGCCGAGCCAAGGGAGTGCGTAGCCCAATCACCGGGTCTTGCACCCGAGAGGTCGTCATGCCTCTTCTTGCTACCCCAACCCAATTCATCATGCAACCAAGCGGCTTAGCTAAGTCCTCGACCCAACTCTCCCAAGCCTTCCGTCAATCACCAAGTGTGGTATTGACGTCAAACATGCACTCACTCATGTAATGAGACACTTCCGTGCAAATGCAATGTGATGTTCCATTGCACACAAAATAATGCTCAATATGCTTATGACAAACATATAAACATTTTCATACATCAATGCAATTGTATCATAAGTATATAAATACCATATCTCATTATGCTCAATATATCATTTCATGCATATGTCAATAACACTCTTCATCCAAAAACCATATCCTAAGCATATGATTTCACAATCACCCAAGCATGTTATAACATAGCATCATGCAAGTAACACACTCAATTTCACTAGGGCATTTTATCAAACATCTTATAGTCATTCAAGTCATGTATTCACATAACACATTCCAAGGCATAGTTTATAAAACACATAGCATGCCTTAAGTTTTCACCAAGTTACAAAATAATCACATGGAACCTCCATATACCAAATTCAAGCTAGAAGCTAGCCTAAGCTATTCCTATGCTAATTTTTTTTCACTTTCATACCCATAGACATATATGTATAACAATACATATGCATATACATAATTTTCACCCTTAGTCTAGCAACACCTAAGGTAAGAATAATCCAAAGTAGGAATAACCCCTACCTCTTAGGAGTGTAGAAAACCCCTAAAACACCAAAACCAACCCAAAAGCTTTGATCTCCAAAAATTCTTCCTTTGATTATTCGGTGAAATCACTTCCTTTTGGTACGTAGACGTAGCCCTTGACGAGGAGAACGATCTTTGTTCTTGGTCCAAGCGGATTTGAGCACTAGAATTATGTAGATCATAGAGAGAAGTTGAAGCTTTCCCTCTCCTTTCCCTCTCTTTTCTATCGGCTGAAGAGGATGCTGAACAATGGGGGAAAAATCTGATTTTTCCCCCTATTTATACTTTAGAACACTTGGCCCACAATTGGCCACATGTCCATTTTTAATTCCGGGTCCGTTTTTGTCCCGAACAATTAAATCTCGCCCCGGTTTAAATCTAAAATATTTTTATTTCAATTTATCTTATTTTATTGCCCAAAATTTAAAATTTTATAAAAAAATTCGTGTACAGGGTCACCCGAAGCCCGATCGCTCCGTCAAACGTGAAAAATTTGACTATCTCAGAATTCGACGAAAATTGACGTGGTAACTCGATTTCGCGAGACGAATCCAACGGTGAGGTCCGTTTTGTCATCCGAGTTACAAAAAATTTCAGATTTACAACCCGAATCATGGTGACAATTCACCATTTTACCCTTTATTCATAAAAGTTTAAATCTACCCGGATTTTACAATATTTTTAGATTGAGAGTATTTTAATTAGGATTTTATAACCATTAAAAATATGATTTTATCCTAATAAAAAATTATAATTTCATATTACCTTTTATTTTGTGAAGGGATTCAAATGATTAAGTGACAGGTATGAGGGAATCTATGTAAAATTTATCAATTTAGTTTCAGACAACAAATTGAAAGCAGTTAGTTTTAGGTGCACATTAATACAAATTTTTATCTTTGAAGGTGTAAATTGAGATTTTTGATCTTTGAGAGTGTACATTGATTCAACTTTCAATCTTTAAGGGTATAAATTTAGATTTTTGATCTTTATGGATAAAAATTGAGATTCGAACGATCTTTCGAAGTATAATTTACAATTAACCTTATTAATTAAAATATAATGCTAGATTGTGTGACATTAAATTCTTGTATTGATTTAGCAAATCAATGCCTCAAGTCAGTCGGTCATACCTCCAAGTTGGTCAATGAAATAAGCCGAAGAATTACAATAAGAAGAATTTGGGGATTGGAATGGAATGGAATTTGATTTGTTGAGTTTGGTTGGTTATGGGAAGAGTTATCTGATCCAAATGCTATGGTAAATATATGTTTTTCTTTATAAACGAGATTCTATTAAAATTTGTCACACATCTAAGAAATGGGATAAAAAAAACTAAAGCTTAAATAATGTAACATTGCAATAATAATGTTTTATTTTATTTTATTTTATTTTAAATTCAATACTTTTTGGTCAAATTCAAAAATTTACTTATCACCTTACCATATCATTTAAACTTTATTGTTTGCCTTATATTTTAGTCTGTTTTGATTGATTGATTGAGAAAATTATTGCTTTTAAAATTTAAATTATAATTGATTGAACTCGTTAATGACCTGTTCAGAAAAAAAAAAAAAAAGAACTTGTTCATGGATGAATGAAGAATTTTTTTTTTCTCCATAATAGAGGTTTTCATTTCTTTTTTAATTTTATTTTCTTCCGGAAATACAATGGATGGAGTCATTTGGCATTAACGTTTTACAACCAATCAACACTTTCATTTGACTACAATATTGGATTGATTTCATCAGGTCCAAGTGAAAAGTCTTCCATGCGATCGGTTGGATTTCATTGTCATAGATCTGTG